GGGTTTCGGGTTTCGAGTTTAGGGATTAGGCTTTAGGGTTTAGGGTTTAGGGATTAGGGATTAGGATTAGGGTTTAGGGGTTAGGGATTACAGTTAAGGATGAGGGATTAGGGTTTCGGAATGAGGCATTAGGGTTCAGGGTACGGGGTATAGGGTTCCGATGAGCCTTTCTGGGTTTTAGGAGTTCGCTGGTTCAGCATTTTCGGGTTTGGGGACACGGTTTAGGGTTTAGGGTTTAGGGTTTAGGGTTTAGGGTTTAGGGTTGAAAAGCCTAAATTCAGCCTTCTATGCTCGCTTGCATGCCCATTCTCTGCGCGTTCTGCCCCAAAAAGCTTCTTAGGTTTTCGACATTACAAATGACGGTGATGATGATGAAGAAGAAGAAGACGATGATGATGATGATGACCTTGATGACCTTGATGACGATGATGGTGATGGTGTGCCATCATCCTGCCATCATCGCCGCCACCAGAGTTGCTGCCAAGCTTTTCACCGCCGTCAGGTTGAATGACAACCCAGCTCCAAGGCCCGACGGTGTCAAAGTTTTCGAACTCAGTCATCATTCCCCAACTTGCCAACCCAGTTAGGGTTTAGGGTTTAGGGTTTAGCCGCCCCCCCCGTCCACCGCTTTTAGTAGTCGTGAAGCCCTGTTTATCTGTGCTCTGTGATCATCACTGTGAAACTAAGGCACCCCAGTCGCTTGTCGCCACGGCAGGCCCTCTGGCTCGATGCGACAAGGGGGTATAGCCAAACCCCCAAGCCCCAAACCCTATAAACCCCACACCCCGAACCCCGAACCCCGAACCCGAAACAGCTCCCGAACCCTCAATTGCGGTAGATCTGGAGTCTAGGGCGGCCCAGGTGTAAGGTTTACCCTATTTTTGGCTGCGGGGGCCTCGCGTATTTCGGGCTTGACGGCTTAGGGTTCAGGATTTAGGGTTTAGGGTTTAGGGTTCAGGTTTTAGGGTTCAGTGTTTAGGGTTTAGAGGTTCTTAGAGCTTGGAGACATCGGGATCAGCACGAGCTTTGTGGGTTTCGGGTTCGGGATTTACCGTTTGAGCGCCTTGTTCTTCACGGCGGGCTTCCTCGGGCTGTTTAGGGTTTAGCGCTTCAATGTGGTTTAGGCTTAGGGTCTGACTGAATAGGGTCTTTCTTATAATATAGTGTCGCAGACCTGCAACAACAGACCATGCAACCCCTCAGCCCATGACTTGGCGGACAGGCATGGCGCGCCATCATGAGGGTGATGCCGAAAGAGGCTTGCTGGATTGCCAAGTCGGGCACAGGGTCAGGTAGTGAGTTGGTTGCAGTCAGCTTGTCGGAAAGTGGTTAATCGCTGTTCGAGATTAGTTAAGTCAGACAGCTTGTCTGCCTGCTCGTTTTATTCAAAGTGTGAGATTAGTCAGTCCGTGTGTTAGTGTTAGTTGTGGCGCCAGCTGTCAGTTAGTTGCTTGGCGTTGGGTTTGTGAGTATACATGCATGCAGGGTGAACGCTGAAGTTGTTTGCCAGTTTCTCCGACTCTTTGCGACTTTGCCCCCTATGCTCATGATGAAGACCTGTGTGTGTGTGTGTGTGTGTGGGGATGCGGTGGTTTTGTTGGTTTGGATGTGTGGATTGTCTATGCGTGCGAATATGGGGAGAGAGAGCGAGAGAGAGAGAGAGAGAGAGAGAGAAACAGACATTTTGGCTCAAGTCTCGGGAAATGGGGACCCGCCCCCCGTGCCCCCCGGGGCTTGAGCCACACGCCGACGCCGTTTCTCAGACGAGATGCGCCCTCGCCCCCCCTTTCAAGTTCGCACGCCTCCAGGCCATGAGGGGGCCACC